ACCAACGGCTCTAGAAACTCCAGCACCTCCAGGACCAGCAGCTCGAGCACCTCCAGGTACAGGGCCTCTAGTGGCAGGCTTCGCTGCTCCAGCAGCTCCACTCTGAAGGCTCCGGCGCCGAGCAAACCACTCGCGCAGCTGCGGTGGAGAGAGAGGCTCCCGCCGTGACAAGGCACCCTGAGGACCTCCAGTAGACAAGGTACCTCGAGGCTCAGGACGCTAAGGCTCAGCACTTCCAAGCTCAGCACCCCCATGCTCCGCACGCTCAGAACCCCCAGGCTTTGTACTCTCAGACCTAGCAACCCCAGGCTTAGCACACCGAGGCTCCGCACCCTCAGACTCAGCACCCCCAGGCTCCGATCGCTCGGGCTCAGTACCCCCAGGCGGAGCAAACCTAGAAACACCAGAGTCGTGTGCTACCTCCACAAGCTCAACAAGTTCTACTTAGGACAGACTTGAGGGAGCCGAACCCTGAGGGGGGAGGGGGTCTACCGGAGGAGGACCCGGTGCAAGAAAGAGCGGCGAGGGAGGGAGAGGGGCAGTGCGGTAGGGAAAAGACGGTTGAAGGGAACCGACGTGTCAAACATGAGGGTGAAGCGGCCGCCGGGTTCTCCGCCTGTCTTCAAGGCGCGTTATGGGGCTCGAGGCTTCAGTCAGCGGTAGGGAGTTGACTACGTTCAGACCTTCTCTTCCACCCCGAAGATGACCACTCTTCGGGTGCTACTACACGTCGCCCCTCAGCGTGCCTACGAGCTTCACTCTCTCGACTTCAGCACAGCCTTCCTCCAGGGCAGCCTCCACGAGGAGATCTGGCTGCGCCGCCCACCTGGCTTCACTGGGTCGTTTCCTCCTGGTACCCAGTGGAGCCTCCGACGGCCAGTCTACGGTCTGCCCCAGGCGCCCCGTGAGTTGCACAACACACTGTGAACTACGCTTGCGGCTCTTGGCTTTGCTCCTTCTACTACTGACCCATGGCTGTTTCTGCGCACCGACACTTCGCTGCCGCCGTTCTACGTCCTCGTGTACGTCGACGACTTGGTCTTTGCCACTGCTGACACTTAGGGACTCACCTACGTGAAGCCGGAGCTGCAGAAGAGACACACGTGCACAGACCTCGGTGAACATCGTGCTAGGTTGTGATCACTGTACTACTTGTTCTCCTCTTTATATAACTCTGCATGTGAACTAGCCTTGTGGCCTTTTGCTTGTGCTCAGAATGCGTGGTGACATCGTGATCCACCCTGAGCTTGACCTCTGCTTTGTTCTTTTGCTTGTCCCCTACTTTGCCTATGGGGGTGTGTCAGAACTATACTCTAGGCTGTAGTGGGGCACTCGTTATGGGGTACAGCCCTGTTAGATTTTGCCAATAAAACTTGTACTGTTCTCTTTCTAGTCACAATTTTCCTCGTTCTTATTTTCACAAAAGGTGGGGTGGTAAAACTGCTAGCCAGGCGCTTTAGGGGGAAAGCCAAGGAAGACGAAGGGAATGGCGTGGGAGGAGAGCTTGTCTGGGGAGGTATTGCGGACAAAGGCACGAGATCCCCAGACCCGGAACACCGACGCATCGCCAACCTCTCCCGTCCAACGCAGTGTCGGCGAGGTCTCCGGCAACAAGACACGGAGCCAAAGGTTGAGCTGATGCGCAGCGTACCGGACCGCCAACGGCCACAGAAAATGGGGGCCAGCTACATGGATCATGGAGGTACGAGCGACCTCCATGACTAAGCCAATGCGGCGCTCAGCAATCCCACTCTGCTGTAGAGAGGCCAGAAGCGTGAACGTCTGGCAAATGCCCTCCCCACGACAAAATTCCTGCAAGAGGTCAGAGTGCAGACACAGGACAGGAAGGTCCGAGTCGAACCGCTCGCGGAGCTGGAGACGGACAGCGCGGATCCAAGGGATCAAAACATCAGGGACCTCCCCCTTGCTACGCAAGGAGAAGACTGTGGTGTAACGCGAGTAGTCGTCAACAACCAGCACAAAGTATCGCTCGCGGCCCTATCCACGGACGCGGGCTGGGCCCCACAACTCCATGTGGTTAGTCTGCAGGGGAGTAGTCGTCGGGGGAAACGAGGAGGAGTCAGGGGCGGCGCGCTGCCGCCCCTTGACACAGGGAAGGCAGGGAGGGGCAGGTGAGGGTGGGAGGGCTGGCAGAGACCTGGGAAGACCAAAGAGAAGGAGATGGGAGTGCATGCCATGGAGGCGTGGCAGGGAGGGGTGACCAAGGCGGTGGTGCCAAAGGAGAGTCTGGTGCGACAGGGCTCGACACGAGCAAGGGGCTGCAAGCTGATCTGACGCGGACATGACGCAACTACTTGAGTAGGCTCAATAGTCAGTGTGTACATACTCGACCCAGGCCGACGAGTGAACGTGGGCAGATGACGGCCCGTCTGTATATACGTGCGGATCGCCACATGCTGACCCCCAGTAGTGGTGGTAGTGACCATCGCATCATGGAGAGCAGCGGTACTCACCAAGTTCGTAGAGAACGAGGGGAGGTGAAGACCTGACAGTGAGCCAGACGGAACTGCCGGACAGGGGAGAACAATGATGGAACGTGCAAGAAATGGGCCCTTGGAGGGGTCAGCCAGTCTGACTGCAACTGGTGCAGGGAGTGGTGTGAGTGTGAAGAAACAGCGGGAAGCACCTAGTCAAAAGTGAAGGTGTGCAAGGCCACAACAGGCGCAGTACTAGAGAGAGCAGACTCACTAGCACTTAGAGCAGCAGCCTCTATACATGGGTCGGGAGGCATACACAGGTAACAGTCATCCTCAGCACTAATAGTCAATGCATACATGGCAGCAAGGATAGCATCATAATAAAAAGCAAATATATCCACGCCCTACCTAAGCAGCTCTGCCCAGCGGGGGAGCTCAGTCGCGTTGGAAAACTCTGCGTGAAAAGTGTCGTCAAGACGGGAGAAGCAGCGGTTCTGGGTGTGAAGCTTCCCGCATGTCTGACCAGTGCGGACACCTGTGAGAATGACATACAGGCAGCGAACACCACCCCAAGATGCCCCACGCTGAGCAAACCACTCACAGAGCTGCTCGGGCGAAGGGGTCTCGCTCGGACACTAGTGCTGCTGCCTCTGGCCATCGCCAGAACCTCCCCTCAGACATCACACAGTACACGATTGGAATGACAATGGCAATGACAATGCCGCCATGGCCATGACGGAGAGCTTTAACTCAGCCAATGTGTAACAATTTCTTACCTGCTACTGATTCGGTTACGCTCTATCGATGCACGACTTTAAGCTCTTTATAATGGTGCTCTTTGAGTGTTCATTACGGGAACCTAAACACCAATTATGTGAGTTCCGGGCTAGCGACAGAGCTACACGATACTTCAAGTCAGGTTTCTACACAAGGCTATTATCAGGGTAATGCGCTACCCCATGGGTTTCATTTGTGTCTCCAAATAACATCATCAATAACTCGCGACAACACCTATGTCTCCAGTTCCCAAGGTCTCCTGAACTTCGACAATAGCAACCTCCAAGGCTGGATGACAATCTCTAAGGACATAACAGTCCCCTCGGGCCTGGACCTGCAGCGTTTTGCTTTCAAGCACAAGAGATATAAATCGTCAACTGCTGTGAGATACATGCTCAGTTCAGTTTGCTTCTCAGCCATTGTCGGGCTGTCAAGCCTCTCTCATCATAGTACTATGGCGGAGGGACGCAACAACAAAGCTGGCAAGAAGACAGTTGATGGCTTCAATCGCACTGTTGACCCGGTCATTGGGTTAGATACTGATTGCATTCGTGGGTTGATCGTTCCTTACGCCGCTGATGAGTATCGTTGGAGGTACTTCGTAGAGGACCCGTCTGTCAAACTTATATGCTATAGTCTGTGTAGGCTATAATGGGGTAGCTCAAATGGGGTACAACACTTTAGGGTTTCCTACTTGTACTCCTCATGCTGCTCAATGCAATCATTCCTCAATTCTCACATGCTATAGAGCAGGTTCCCTAGTGGGAACGCTTCCTAAGGGCCCACCACTGAAATTTCTTTCCTGCCCGGAGCGCGCTTCGCTCCTGCCCGAGTCGCGCCACGTGTGCCCTCCCTCTCGTCGCGTCCCTAGCCCTTAGCCGCCCGTCGCGCCCTCCTCAGGCCCCTAGCGGCCCCTTTTGCGGCCCCTCACGGCCCCTCTCACGGCCCCGTCGTCGCGCCTCTAGGCTTGTCGCGGCCCCTTTGCGGCCCCGTTGCCGCCCCTAGCGGCCCCGTCGCCGCCCCTCTAGGCCCCTCGCGGCCCCTTCGCGGCCCCGTCGCCGCCTCTCCAAGCCCCGTTGCCACCTCTCCAGGCCCCTCGCGGCCCCTTCACGGCCCCATTGTCGCATCCTCTAGGCCCCTTACGGCCCCTCTACGACCCGGTCGCCGCCCCTAGCGGCCCCGTCGCCGCCCCTGGAGGCCCCGTCGCCGCCCTTCGCGGCCACCTCGCCGCCCTTCACGACCCCGTCGCCGCCCTACCGGCCCCGTCGCCGCCCTACCGGCCCCGTCGCCGACCCTAGCGGCCCCGTCGCCGCCCTAACGGCCCTGTCGCCGACCCTAGCGGCCCCGTCGCCGCCCTAACGGCCCCGTCGCCGACCCTAGCGGCCCCGCAGCCGCCTCTAGCGGCCCCGTCACCACTCTTCACGGCCCCGTCGCCGCCCCTAGCGGCCCCGTCGCCGCTTTTCACGGCCACGTCGCCGCCTCTACCGGCCCCTTCAACGCCGCCAGCAGCCTAGCAGCCGAGGCGCCCGACAGCCGAGCCGCCGAGCCGCCCAGTAGCCGAGCCGCCGAGCCGGCCAGCAGCCGAGCCGCCGAGTCGCCGCTCCACCCAGCAACTGAGCCGCCGAGCCGCCCTGCAACCGAGCCGACGTGCCGCCCAGCCGCCGAGCCGTCCAGCAATCGAGCCGCCGAGCCGCCCTGCCGCCGAGCCGCCACTGTTCCTTCCGGCGCGCCCCGGCCCTACTTCCTTTGACTAGTGAGCTCACTCGCTGCTAGACCACTGCAGTCATGGCTACCCCCAGTGTCCTTACTTTTGATACTGAGGGTCGTGCAGTTGACTTTGAGGTCTGGGTCGATGACCTCCAGCTGTTCCTACAGTGCGATAGGGCAGACGGACTCTCCCTGTTCGATCTCACCTTTGGTGTCTCTCTTGCCCAGCCTGCTACTGCTGACAGCACTGTTCGCTCATAGTGGGCCACGCGCGATGCTGCTGCCCGTCTTGCTGTGCGTCGCCACTTACCGACCATTGAGCGTGCGCACTTTAGCCAGTACAAGAGTGCTAAGACCTTGTACGACGCTGTAGTTGCACGCTACTCTTCCCCTGCCACTGCTGCGCTTAGCCGCTTCATACTACCGTACGTGTTCCTTCACCTTGCTGCCTTTCCCACAGTCGCTGAACTCATTACGCACCTTCGCACTAGTGACACTCGCTACCACGCTGCGCTTCCTGCTGAGCTCTGTGCCAAGAACCCCCCCCACCCCATGTACATCACCCTCTACTACATAGTCACCCGGCTCCCTGACTCCCTTCGCTTAGTCACGGACCACTTCCTCTCAGTTTGCCCCACCACACTCATCGTCGACCTCCTCGAGGAGCGCCTCCTAGCAGCAGAGAAGAGCATAGTCGCTGTAGGAGCCTTAAGTGGTGACCCTCGCACCCTCGTCTTTGAGGGGTGTTCTCCCTCCCCCCTCTTGCCCTCTGTTGCTTCTGCTGCTGCGGCCGACCTCGTTGGCTTCGAGTCGCTCGGCGCTGCGTCTGCCCCTAGCGGGAAGCGCCGCACCGGCAAGGGCAAGGGAGGCAAGGGCGCTGGGGGGGCTATTGGGGGCGGTGGAGTGGTGGTGGAGGCAGTGGTGGGGGTGGGGGTGGTGGTGGGAGTGGTGGCGGGGGTGGAGGTGTCGGTGGCAGCATGGCAGGCGGAGCAAGCGGCGGTGGTGGCGGAGGCGGCGGAGATGGCACAGGTGGCGGAGGTGGCGGAGGCGACGGAGGCACCGGTGGAGCTGGTCACGGCTCTACGCAGAGGAGTGGCTCCGGTGGTGGTCCGGGTCAGCAGCAGCAGCGTGGTCGTGAGACCCTATCTAGGGCGGGGGTAGCTATCTTTGATCTTGACTATGATGCTATTCTTGCTGCCATGTATGCTCTGTCTACTAGTGATGAGGGTGACTGTTACCTGTGTGTTCCGCCTGACCCGGGAATCGAGGCTGGTGCTCTAGGTGCTGGTGAGGCTGCTACTCCAGGTGCTAGTGCGTCTGCTGCCCCAGGTGCTGGTGAGTCTGCTCTCTCAGGTACCACGTTGGCTCAGGCCTTGCACACCTTCACCCTTGACCCGGGTACTTCTCGCTCCTTCTTTCGAGACCGCACCAGCTTACGCCGCTTAGTCGGCCGGTTGCGGTCTCCCTGGCGGACCCCTCTGGGGGTCCTGTCCTTGCTAGCTTCTCCACTGTCTTACCGTGTCCGGCAGTCCCCCTCTTGCACCCTGTCAGGTCTTTACCTCCCCTCGTTCTCTACGAACTTGGTGAGTGGAGCTGACCTATAGGATCGGGGGGTTGACCAGTTCATACCTGCGAGTCAGCGGGTGACCCACTATACGTGTGCTCGAACGGGCCGACACTTGGCCACGTTTACCCGTCAGACGGGGTCGAGCATGTACACACTGACCACTGAGTCTCCTCCTGTTGCTTTGTCTGGTCAGGTGGCTGTGTCGAGTCAGGTGTTTGCTGCAGCGTCCAGGTCTGGTCCTGAGTCTGCGCCCTGCTCGTGTCGTCTCCTGTCCCACTAGACTCTCCTTTGGCACCACCGCCTTGGTCACCCCTCCCTGCCTCGTCTCTGAGGCATGGCCTCCCATATCCTTGTCTCTGGTCTCCCCCGGTCCCTCCCTCCCTCCCCTACCTCCGGGGTCGGCCCCTACCTGCGTCCCCTGCGTCAAGGGGCGGCAGCGCACTGCTCCTCACTCCTCTGAGTTTCCTCCGATTGAGGGTCCCCTGCAGACTCTTCACATGGACGTGTGGGGCCCCGCCCGCGTCCGTGGCCAGGGTCACGAGCGTTCCTTCCTGTTGGTGGTTGACGACTACTCGCGTTACACCACCGTGTTCCCCTTGCGCAGCAAGGGTGACGTCACTGAGGTGTTGATCGACTGGATCCGCGCAGCTCGTCTCCAGCTCAGAGAGAGTTTCGGCTCGGACTTTCCTGTTCTGCGTCTGCACTCTGACAGAGGCGGGGAGTTTTCCTCTGCACGTCTGAGAGCCTTCTGTCATGCACAGGGCATCCGCCACACCTTCACGCTTCTTGCCTCTCCACAGCAAAATGGGATTGCTCAGAGCCGCATTGGCATGGTCATGGACGTCGATCGTACGTCCATGATCCATGCGGCTGCTCCCCATTTTCTGTGGCCGTTTGCGGTTCAGTACGCGGCGCATCAGCTCAACCTTCAGCCCCGAGTCTCCTTGCCAGAGACCTCCCCAACCTTGCATTTGACGGGGAAGGTTGGCGATGCGTCTACGTTTCGGGTCTGGGGATCTCGGGCGTTTGTCCGCGACTTTTCTGCGGACAAGCTGTCCCCCCGTGCTGTTCCTTGCATCTTCCTTGGCTTCCCCCCTGACGCGCCTCATTTGCAGTTTTACCACCCCACCTCGCGTCGTGTTCTGTCCTCCCAGGACGTCACCTTTGACGAGTCGGTACCTTACTACCATCTCTTCCCCTACCGCACTGCGCCCCCTCCCCCGCCCCCGCTCATCCTTGCGCCATGTCCTCTCCCGGTAGACCCCCTCCCCCCTAAGGGTCCTGTCCCGTCAGGTGTGTCCTAGGTAGACGCAGTCGAGCCTGTCGAGGTAGCTGTTGACTCTGGTGCTGCTGAGCCTGCGGGTGTTGGGTCTGGGGGTGCTGAGCCTGGGGGTGCTGAGACTGGGGGTGCCAGGTCTGGGGATGCTGAGCCTGGGGGTGCTGAGACTAGGGGTGCTGAGTCTGGGGGTGCTGAGCCTGGGTGTGCTGAGTCTGGAGGTGCTGTCCCTAAGGGTGCAGGGCCTGAGGGTGTGGAGCCTGGGGGCGCTGGGTTTGCTCGTATGGCCGCCGGCGGTGCTTCGTCGAGGCGGGAGCCACTCTCTCCACAGGAGCTGCGCGAGTGGTTTGCCCGGCGCTGGAGCCGTGGTGCTGGAGCTGGAGGTACTACTGTTGCTGCTGGTCCTGGAGGTGCTCGTCCTGGCGGTTCTGGAGATGCTGGGACTGGGCGTCCTGCTGGAGGTGCTACTGGAGCTATTGGAGCTGGAGCTGCTGGAAGTGTTGGCGCTGGTGGTTCTGCTGGCGCTGGTGCTTCTGAGGGTGCTGGAGTTGGCGCTGGTTGAGCTGGAGGTGCTGCTGGCGCTGGTGCTGCCGCTGGGGGTACTGGTGCTGTCCCTGCTGGTTCTGGAGGCGCTGCACGGCCGAGGCCGTACTTCGTTCCGCTCCTTGAGCAGGTTCTTGGTCTCCTGCCCTCTACTGGTCCTGCTCCTCCCTTAGCGTGTCCATGGCCTGTCCTGTCGCGGTCACAGTTACAGCCTGCCTCCCCCCTGCCTGCTCCTTCTCCCCACACTTGTCCTACTGGAGGTCTTGCTGAGCGTCGTGAGCCTGCGTCTCGTCGTGCGTCGCCTGATCGTGCTGCTCGCACTAGTGGTCGTGCTCCGCGTCCGCGTCCTCCTGCGGTCCCCGGCACACACCAGATGGCACAGCGTCCTTCCACTGCTCCTCTGCGTGTCCCGTTTCTGTCTCCTTCAGAGTCCTCTCTTCCTACTCTTGCTGACCTTGAGTCTGACTCTCTTCGTGCTGCCAGTCCTACTGTCACGCATCTCCTGGCTACTGTTGTCACTGACCCTTCTTTTGAGTCCACTGCTGCGTCTGCCTTAGTTGCTGAGCTTGTCGACTTTGCTGATCGCTGTCGTCTAGACTACGCTGCTAGTCTTGTTGCTGAGTCTGCGTCTGTCTGTCCTCCGTCCGTCGGGGGTGAGTCTGCACTTAGCACGGACGTCCTTGAGGACAGGCAGGAGGAGTTCCAGTGTTTTGCTGCTGCTTTGCCTCATCTCGTGTCCACGCTGATTGCCCGTGAGGGAGACCCGGATGCACCAGACATCCCGACTCCTCGATCGTACGCTGAGGCGATCGAGGGTCCCTACTCCTCACGGTGGCAGTCAGCCATGGACGCAGAGATGGCTTCTTGGAAGTCCACAGGCACCTACGTCAACGAGGTTTCCCCACCTGGGGCGAACATCGTCAGTGGCATGTGGATTTTCAGGGTGAAGCGGCCGCCGGGTTCTCCGCCTGTCTTCAAGGCGCGTTACGTGGCTCGAGGCTTCAGTCAGCGGCAGGGAGTTGACTACTTTCAGACCTTCTCTCCCACCCCGAAGATGACCACTCTTCGGGTGCTGCTGCACATAGCCGCTCAGCGCGACTACGAGCTTCACTCTCTTGACTTCAGCACAGCTTTCCTGCAGGGCAGCCTGCACGAGGAGATCTGGCTGCGCCGCCCACCTGGCTTCACTGGGTCGTTTCCTCCTGGTACCCAGTGGAGCCTTAGGCGGCAAGTCTACGGTCTCCGCCAGGCGCCCCGTGAGTGGCACGACCCACTGAGGACTACACTTGCGGCTCTGGGATTTGCTCCATCTACTGCCGACCCGTCGCTGTTTCTGCGCACCGACACCTCCTTGCCGCCGTTCTACATCCTCGTGTATGTCGACGACTTGGTCTTTGCCACTGTTGAGACTGCTGGACTCGCCCACGTGAAGTCCGAGCTGCAGAAGAGACACACGTGCACAGACCTGGGTGAACTGCGCAGCTACCTTGGCTTGCAGATCACCCGGGACAGAGCACAACGCACCATTACCATGACTCAGTCACACATGGTGCAGCAGGTCCTTCAGCGCTTCGACTTCACGTACTCCTCGCCTCAGGCCACTCCTCTGTCTACTCGCCACTCGCTCTCAGCTCTGCCTTTGGATGAGTCCGTAGAGCCGAGTGGCCCATACCCTTAGCTTGTTGGCTGCCTCATGTACCTGATGACCTGCACACGACCTGACCTAGCATTCCCTCTTAGCATATTGGCACGCTATGTTGCTCCTGGGAGACACCGACCAGAGCACATGGCTGAAGCAAAGAGGGTGTTGCGCTACTTGTGCAGTACGTCGGGCATGGGGCTAGTGCTTGGAGGGCGACGTCTAGTGGTCCTCACAGGCCACGCAGACGCTTCTTGGGCTGATGACCAGGCTACGCAGCGGTCGTCACAGGGTTACACCTTCAGCCTTGGTTCCGGCTCTGTTTCGTGGCGGTCTACCTGCTCGTCTTCCGTTCTCGGCTCCAGCTGTGAGGCTGAGATCTACGCGGGGGCCATGGCTGCACAGGAGCTACGCTGGCTCACCTACCTGGTGACTGACCTAGGAGAGCCGCCTCGTTCTCCTCCAGTTCTGTACGTAGACAACAAGGCCATGCTGGCCTTGTGTCGGGAGTACAGACTGAAGCACAGAACGAAGCACATTGCTCTTCGCTACTTCCTTGCTCGTGAGCTGCAGTAGCGCGGTCAGCTGTGCCTTGCTTACATGGCCTTTAAGGCCAACACTGCTGATATCTTTACCAAGGCACTTCCGCCTTGTGATCATCAGCGCTTTTGTACTTTGCTAGGTCTTGTGCCTACTTGGCCTCACTTGCTCACTTCTTGACTTTGCTTGTACTATGATATATCTACCTGCACTTGCTTGCTTATCCTTGGTAGGTTGAGATCAATGCCTTGTTTGTTCATCTAGATACATAACTCTGCATGTGAACTGGCCTTCTGCTTGTGCTTAGTTTGTGTGGTGACGTTGTGATCCACCCTGAGCTTGCGTTGCTTCTCTTGACTGGTCTTGTGACCTCTTGTTCTCCCCCACTTTGCCTATGGGGGTGTGTCAAACTTATATGCTATAGTCTGTGTAGGCTGTAGTGGGGTAGCTCATATGGGGTACAACACTTTAGGGTTTCCTACTTGTACTCCTCATGCTGCTCAATGCAATCATTCCTCAATTCTCAAACCGTCAACAGGGAAACGTTACGTGCTTCACTTCCGTCGCTCACGTGCGATTCCTGCAACGGTCAGCAC